AGGAGTTCAGAAGTAATCATGCCCGATCTGACAGAAGCCTGGGAGTGAGTGCGCGAGGTGGTTATAAAAGGCTCCTACCCCCCAGAAACGAGGTATGCTAACTTTTGCGCTATCTGGTCTATCTTGCCTTTGAGAAACTCTAACTTGAGCTTCGGAACCCATACGCCGGGTTCTCCCCGGAGCTTCTCTTTTCCCTCCGTTTCAGGTCCTTGACCACTCGATTCAGAGACAAGATCGTTGACAGCTAAGATCGGCCAAATCGTGCACCATCAGGACATATTAGGCTCTATGATTCATCTTTCCTGTGTCTCCGATGAAGAGGGGTTCTATACCACCATTTTCCACGTAGATTTTGGGGCAATACAGGGAGAGCAACTACAGCTTGCAGGCTTGACGGTTCAGACCTTGCGGCCTCAGCCGCGGAGCCTGTGGAGAGTGGAAACTTGGCGGAAAAGGAAGTAGGAGATAAATAGATGATGGTGGTGATGATTTATAGTGTTAAGGCAGAGGTGGAGGAGATGGGAGTTGTTAGTCTTGCAACAATGCCGCACCCAAAGAGACGGTAACCGATCAGCTGATCCTACATACCAGTCCCTGGAAGCACCGACACTGGCACAAGAAAATGAGGCCAAAGACAACTCCTTTCGGATGCAGGCAGGCCGAGTGGCCAATGCTGCTATTCCGCGGGGTTGACTCAGCTCTTCGCTGACGGAGACCCCGTCAACGATAAACTCAGCCAACGCGTTATTGTCCAGAACAACCATTTGGGTCTATTAAAATATCTGAAATTTGCAGTCTCATTGTTGGTGTGATTTGAAGTGTGTACTACTTTCTGTAGGGCCCTCTTCTCTGAAGTGGGGTTATGGAAGAAGTAACCGAGAAGGGTCTCGGAAGATAAGATAGACGTTTCTGGAAGCTGCAATCGATGCTAAGGAATTATAGAAGAAGCCTGAGCTTTTATATTACTGATAAAAGACAGAAAAAAAAAGAGCTTGTCCCTTACTTCACTAGCAATACTATCTTTTGGGTGTTCTCAGACATGGCGGAAGCAGTTCTTTCCACTCTTTTGCAGGCTATATTTGAGAAGACAGTGTCTGAGGTATTTGAAGAGTTTGGATTGTTTGGTGGCGCTAAGAAGGAGGTGAAAAAGCTTCGGAGCACATTATCAACAATTCAAGCTGTGCTTGAAGATGCGAAGGACCGACAGGTAACTGATAAGGCACTAAGAATTTGGCTGAGGAACCTGAAAGATGTAGCTTATGATGCGGATGATTTGTTGGACGAATATTTGATTGAAGCTCTGCACAAGAAAGTGGAGACTCATCATATTCATGCGACGATTCGAGATCATATAAGAAAACAGGTGCGGAACTTCTTTTCAACTTCAAATCCTTTTATTTTTCACTATAGGATGAGACGTCAGTTGAAGGAGATTGGTGAAAGGCTAGATTTAATTGCCGGTGAGAGGTTCAAGTTTCATTTGAAAGATAGAATTATTGATAGGAGAGATGGGTTAATTGGGAGATTGCAGACTGATTCTTCTTTAGTTGAATCAGAAATTTATGGAAGAGGAGATGATAAAGAGAAAATAATTAAGTTTCTAATTCATGAAGGAAATGATGATGATGTATCAGTCATCCCCATTGTTGGCATGGGGGGCCTAGGAATGACAACACTTGCAAAATTGGCCTACAATGATGAGAGGGTTGTGAGACATTTTGAACAAAGAATTTGGGTTTGTGTCTCAGTGGATTTTGATGTTAGAATGCTTGTAAGAGCTATTATAGAATCGGCAACTGGCAAGAGATGTGATTGTTTAGATATGGAACCAATGCAGCGTCGCCTTAAAGAAATGTTAACCAGGAAGAGATTTTTACTAGTTTTAGATGATGTATGGAATGAAGATTATGAGAAGTGGGATAGAATGAAACTTCTTCTAAGATGTGGTGCTGGGGGAAGTAAGATCATTGTAACTACTCGTAGTGAGAAGGTTGCATTGATTACTGGCACAGTCACTTCTCACGGTCTGGATGGTTTACCTGAAGATGCTTGTTGGTCTCTATTCAAGCAACGAGCATTTCAGTTTGAGAATGAAAAAGAATCCTCAAGTTTAGTATCAATTGGGAAGGAAATTGTGAAAAAGTGTAGGGGTGTGCCTCTAGCAGCAAAGACCCTTGGAAGTTTGATGTGCTTTAAAAGAGAAAAAAGTGAGTGGTTATCTGTTAAAGACAGTGACATCTGGGATATAATTGGAGGTGAAAATGGAATTTTACCTGCCTTAAGATTGAGTTATGATAATCTACCATCATATCTGCAACAATGTTTTGCATATTGCTCAATATTTCCTAAGGATTATAAGATGAAAAGAGAGAAACTCATCCATCTTTGGGTTGCAGAAGGCTTCGTTCAGGCATCTGGAGGAAATAAGCCATTAGAAGAAGTTGGTAATGAGTATTTCAATGAGCTATTATGGAGATCATTTTTTCAAGACGTAATAAAAGAGAGTGATGGAATAATACTGGAGTGCAAGATGCATGACCTTGTTCATGATCTTGCAAGGTCTGTTGCAGGTATTGATTGTTCAATTGTGAATGCTAACAAGCAAGTAACAATTCCAATAGGAGTACGCCATTCCTCATTGGTTTGTAATGAAATGGTGTTAGCACTTCCAGGTGTTCTCCCTAATGCAAAGAACCTACGCTCGTTCCTTTTATTATTTGGTTGGCGCAAAATCTCAAGGGTCTCACGTAATCTGATATTAAGTTTTAGATCCTTGCGTGTGTTAGATTTGAGCTACAGTGGAATTAAGAAATTGTCCAAGTCAATTGCTACACTGAAACATTTAAGGTACCTTGACCTTTCAGGCAATTTTATCAAAATGTTACCCAAATCTATTAGCAGCCTTTGTAATCTCCAGACCTTGAATCTCATACAATGTCATCAACTTCAAAGGTTACCCAAAGACATGTGGAAATTGACCAATCTTAGACATCTTGATATACATGGATGTTGGTCATTAGAAAAGTTGCCAACAGATATTGGAAAGCTTAGGTTCCTTCAAACATTGCCAATATTCATAGTGGATGAGGTACATGGATGTGGCATAGAAGAGTTATCGAGATTAAACCTTCAAGGTGAATTAATGATTAAAAACCTTCAGAATGTGAGAAATGCAGCATGTGCAAAGCAGGCAAACATGCAAGAGAAGAGAAAGCTTCAATTTCTGGGATTATCATGGAAGACTTGGAAGCGTGATGATGGTACAAATGTTGATGGTGCAAGTGTTCGAGATAATGTTGAGCGTGTGCTTGAATACCTCCAACCACACCCAGATTTAAAAAGGTTAGCCATTGAGAATTATAAGGGTGCAAATTTCCCAGGTTGGTTGATGGATTTGTCACTCTTGAATCTGGTACAAGTCTCATTAATCAAATGCAAACGGTGTGCCAATCTGCCTCCTTTTGGTCAGCTCCCCTGTCTTGAGGTTCTCATGGTGGAAAGAGTAGATGCTGCAATGTATTTTAGTAACAGCTCCAGTGGCAACAGTAGGGAAATATTCCCAATGTTGAAACAACTCACAATAAAAGATATGCCTAACTTAGTTGGGTGGTCAATTGTTGAAAAAAAGGCACTACTTCCTTGTCTCAGTAAACTGATAATTGAGGGGTGTCCAAAATTGACAAACCTACCATCTCTCCCATCTCTAGAAAATCTAGAGCTGAGGGATTGCAACATTATGCTGTTAAGCTCAGTCACAAACATTGTCTCTCTTTCCAACCTTATAGTTAGTGGGTTTCCGGAGTTAGTGTCTTTACCACAGGGGTTGCTATGTAACAAAACAAGACTCTTGTCTCTAGAAATTAGGGACTGCGCCAAGCTTAACTCTTTGTTGAGTGAGATCAAAAGTCTTACTACTCTACAATCATTAAGTCTTAGTAATTGCTATGAACTAGATCATTTACCAGAAGAATTGGGGAGCCTCATATTGCTTGAGTCCTTAGTAGTATGTGGGTGCCATAGCCTAATATCTTTGCCAGAAGGGATAAGTGGCTTAACTGCTCTTCAACACTTATCACTTTCTGACTGTGAAAACTTATCATCATTGCCAGATGCTATGCAACATTTTACCAATCTCCAGACATTGAACATTTGGAGTTGTGGTAAATTAGCTTCTCTTCCAAATTGGTTGGGGCACCTCAAATCACTTCGAGAGTTGGAAATTTGGTACTGTGATAATATACTCTGTCTACCAGAAGGGATGCAACACCTCACTGCACTTCAATTTCTGTCAATATGGAGCTGTCCTAATTTAGAGATGCGATGCCAAAAAGGAACAGGAGAGGACTGGCATAAGATTGCACATGTCCCATTTATTAAGATTAATGGGCCCTATATTCAATCCTTGGATGGTAATTATCTCAACTGACATTTATCTAGCAAGTCATCATACTACGTAGAAAAGGTCTTGTAGGTCCTAGCATGCTGTGTTCCACCAATCTAATATGTTTGACTATATATCCTCTTCATATTAATTATGTTGAAATGTTTCATACATTGATTGGGGGATTGGTGCTAATTGATCCATTTTTAGATATTTATCTCTTACCATTCAATTTTTTAAAACATGCAGTTTAGCACATCTTCATGATAACAAGGAGATGGCGGAAAGAAAAAACATGTTTTTGTTAGAAGAAGATGTACTACACTAGGTCCAGGTGATGATTTGGTTAGTATATTTTTAAGACACTTGTTCCTTCTTTCTGGTTTCTTATTGATTTTAAATTAATGCAGATGGTTACCATAGCATGGCAGGACACAGTCAAGTGGCAATGGTGGAATCATCAGGAACACAGATGGTATTTTCTATTAAGCTTTTTTTCTTCGTACTTAGGTGGGGAATGAATATGATATCATTACTTGGTTTACTTTCCCTTAATAGGTCAGAAATCTAGTATGTCTAAATATGAGAACTTGTACATGGTAGATACATGTCCTGGACAAATTGGTGGATGTCAAGGCCATATTTGGTTCATTGCCATATTCCTCATTCTTTCAATTCTTATTCATTTTGGGTAAAAATGGGCAAGAATGAATAACAAAAAGTAATTTGGTTATAATATTCTTGCCACAGGCCTCATTCTTTTTAGAATGAAAAATGGGCCTCGGCATAAAACTAGAGGCAGCCAGGAGCACGAACAATAATCATGTCGCAGGCTTCCTATTCTCATTTTCTTCGACTTTGACTCTCTATTCACAGTGGTTCTTTCTCTGTCACAGTTCTCTCTAAGGTTGCCGTTGATGATCTGTTCTACCTCTGATCTGTGATCTATGTAAGTCTCTCTCTCTCGCCCACGCTTCATAAAGTAAACCGAGAGACCACATTTTTTCTCTAATTTCCACTCTTTCTCCCTAAAATTACTCTCTCCTATTAACTTCTCTGCTTCCATATGGGAGATTATTTATAGAAGTTGAAGCAATTACAAAGAGACTGTTAAGAGCTCTCTTTTACATTTGTTTCATTGATTCCATGGTTTTTGTTTTTTGAATCTAATAGAAAGAGAGTGTTGGTTTGAGGTTGTTTTGTCTATTGTTGACTGGAGACATCCAATCGATTGGGAAACTTTCAGTTTTGGAGTGAAAATTCTGTAGAGGATTGGAAGTTGGAATCTGAGTTTGGTGGAATGGATCTTGAATCTGCTTCTCAGAACTGGGAATCTATTTTGGTGGGTTTAGTTTCTTTGCGTGTTTGTTGAATTTTAGTTTGAATGTCGACTGTCATGTTGGTTGGTATTTTAGGGTTTTGGATTCCTTTGGACTTTAAACTTTTATGCTTGATGTGTTGTAGTTATTTAGTTTCGAGGCATAAAGGAACTAATCTATATTTCTACTAAAACTCAGTTTTCTGTGTTTCTGTTGAGTATATTAGAATATAGAGTAACACCAGTGTTACTGGACGGACATTTCTTAATTTTAAGTGGTTTTCAATAAATATTTGATTTTCTTTTCCTGTTATTGCTGCTCTGTCGATTGCTAATGTAAAAAGAATTGATGCTCTGCTATTCTCTGGGTTGTAAGTTTTTTCCTTCTTTCACTCTTTTCGACAAGGAATTTAAGTTATTGGTCCCTCTTGCATGTTTGATTTTGGACTTAATCTTTTTATTTTATTGCTTCTGCTTGTTTGTTTGCAAATGGTTTTCATTGATTTTTTCTTCTTTTGAATTGTATGTTTTATGCATGATGTTTGGAGGAGGATTTAACCAGTTGGTTGATTTTACTGAATTATTTGATGTTTTTTATGCAATTTGATCCTTTTGCAATTTCTTTGCTGGGGCTACGTCTGCAAAATCTATACTTTTGCTCTTTTTATTGATTTTGGTTTTGTTTCCTTATTTGGTTTCAATTCTCTTGTTCCCTTCACACTGTATTAAAATCTTCTAAGCTCAGGACCATAAATTGATTTTTAAGGATTTTCACCATGCCTTTTTATTCTTTTTAGCTATTCTTAGTTTTGAATTCTTTCTCATTTTCGGGAAAATGGCATTATCTAATTTCCAAATTATTATTATAATTTATTGCGTTTAGCTCTTTCCCCATCTTTTGTGTGTTTTCTATTAAATTCATTCCTGTCATTTTGATTCGTAAAGGGTTAAATGGTCTCATGGTTCCCTTCTTTGCAGAAAGCACACAAGACCACACTTTCTGGCCTACCAGAGTTTTGGGGTCATGTATGGAGACCTGAGCACATCCCCCATGTATGTCTACAAAAGCACTTTCTCAGGGAGGTTCCACCTTCACAAGGATGATAATGAAATTTTTGGGGTACTCTTTTTAGTTTTCTGGACTTTGACTCTGATCCCTTCACGAGGATTATATTTGTATTAAGGTCGGATTTTATTTCTAGTAGTGCATTTGTGAGAGCTTATTCAATAGCATCCCTTGTTGATGAAGCTCCTAGGGTGTTCAACGGGATGCCCAAACCAGATTTGCTTATGTGGAAATCAATAGTTTCAGGTTATGGGCCTTCTTGATGCTGGGATAAGGGCTTGGAATGGTTTAGCAGAATGCAGGAAATAGGGGAAAGGCTAGATGGGTATACCATGTTTGGATTTCTCTCAGGTTTATTGGAACCTATCATGCTTCAAGTTGGAAAGGGGATTCATGGTCTTTGTTTGGAAAATGGATTTGAGTCGTACACACATGTGGGAAGTGCACTTGTGACTATGTATTCAAGGTGTGGTTACTTGAGTTCTGCTTATAGAGCTTTTAATAGTTGATCTCAGCATGATTTGGTTCAATGGTCTGCTCTCATACTGGATTCATTCAATCAGGAGCTTGTGAAGAAGCCATGTTCTTGTTCAAGGAAATGAATTTCAAGGGCCAAAAAGCAGATGCTATTTCAATTGCTTGTAGAAGTTGTCTAAAAACTATGGCAGCATTTGGTAATGTATCAAGGGAAGGTTTCTGGTGTTACCAGGTACCAGAAACATTCCCATGGAATGTTACCAAATGGTTCCTAATATACCTTAATTTTGCATCTCCCATGTAAAGATTTTGAAGGTCCCTTTGCTAAATAAAGATTTACCCTTTGATGGTCTGAATAGTCTAACATGTTTTATGCAACTAATCCAATACGTTTTCAAGAGTTAAAATTTTCATCTTCTGTCCCACATTATTTGGAGTTGATACTGAGACAATTGTCTTTAACAACATTTATATGTATGTACATTAAGATTGGAAGGGAAAGAATTCAATTCATTTTAGGTCCTGGTGATGCCAATTCAGCAAATACACTATATGAGTCAACTGGTTCAGAATGCTAATTGGACAACAACAATATTGTAGTATTGGACTTAAACCAGTGTGATACAAAATCAGATATTTATGTTTAATTGTTCAAACAGAAAAGGCAAGTGAAAATTGGCCAACATAAAGGACATTTATGCTAAGTTTCCACTCATCTCCTCTCCTCTGTATATTTAAGTCCATTATCAGATAACCTCAGTGTTCAGATAGTATTTGGAAAGTATAATAGCCATTCCTGAAAGATACTGCCAAGACTCAATTTCCATTTATGAACCCTCATGCAGTTTCCTTTCTGTGGAGTTACTCTTTAAAGGCCCAGATTTCATGTTATTAGTTCCAAAAATTAAACCATTTGATGTTATGCAGGTTTCATCTTCAGCATGGAGATTTACCCAAGGATCTCATTTGAAAGCTTCATGGGTTCTCCTTGAGGATTCATGCCTAACGAAATATAAAACAGGATTCATGTAGCTGATCCCAGATGATGATGATGATGATGATGATAGGTTCTCCTTGAGGACTGCAGTACAAGGTGAATGCCATCTTAAAGCTCAGTGTATCCACAACACCTGCATTATATTGGAAATAACTACTCCTAATCATTTATTTGTATGATTCTCTTCATGGAATCTTGATTTTATATGATGTTTATACAAGATGGGTGCAAATTACTTCCTTTCTGATAGCTCTCTTTTTCTGAAATTTTTTTCTCCAAACATAATACAAGTATGATTGGAACTTTATTTCTAGTAATTTATTTATATGGATCGGGTTTTATAGAAATAAGGATTAAGCATATCTCAGGCACGATGGGTTTTAACTGCACTGTTTTTATGAAAATACAAGTATGTTCAATACAAAACCTTGTATTTGTACTTGTGCTCTTCCCACATTGAGCCTAAATGGCTGATTTGTAATTGATTCAATCATACTACCCAGGTCTTTTTCTAATGATTTTAGATGATTTAAGATGTCTAATAATATTTTCAAGGCGGCTTTAGTATTCAAGATAAATATTAGCAAGAGTGAGATTTTGAAGGCAAAGGATGCTCATAACTTAGAGGACTTCCTTTAAATTTTCTTTTATATTTTCTCTATCCAACCAGATGCAATAGCTTTTCGGTTTCTTGTCTTTTTTCTTTTTCATACCTTTTGTTACTGATGTGGGGCCCACATGGCTGATTTGTGTTTTGTTGGTGTCGGTCTTTCATGTTTCCACTATACATATCTATCATTGAGTATTGCATGTATAATTATGCTATTATTTTGGTTGATGAAAAGAAGGGATGGGAACAGAATTTGCAACAAAACAGGTTCAAAATTGTGCTATTATTATCTTGATTAATGAAAAAAAATGATTGAGAATGAAATTTGTAACCAAATGGGTTAAAATTTATTCTCATTCTTGCTACAAAAAGAATTCATTTTTAGGAAAAAAGCGTTTAGTTCGTGGAACTTTTTTTTCATTCTTTCCATCTTAGAATTTCATTCTTGGTAAGAATTAGAAAGAATGAGAGTTGAACCAAACATGGCTTAAAGGCACAAATGGAACTGAAAACGTTGGTGGAGAAAAGAACAAGGTAATGCTCCACTTTCTGAAATTGTCTTCTTGAAGCCATTTTGTATACGATGCAAATAATGGGGCATAGAGAAAATGCTTTGTATGGTTAATCTTTGAAGGAATGCCTATATTAATGTGAACTATAGAAATTCACAAGATGAACTGTGACCGAAAAAGGAATACACTCACCTATGTCATCCCATTGTTACACAATGCCTGGCATTGAGCTATAACCATACAGCAAACCCTCTCTGTGCATCAATTTAATAAGACCCCTGCTTTATCATTGATCTCCTTTCTGACCCACTTAATAATAACCAAGAAAAACGGGCAGCAGGTGTGGTCTTTCTTAAGAAGTGGAACAGGCTCCGTTAGTTCAAGTAAATAGACTTGCTCATATTATAGTGCTTGCTCCTTCCATTGGAGTGGGATAAAAATGAATATGTTTAGAAATACAGGGTCCAGACAAGAGAGGTACTTTGATCTTAGGGGGTGTTTTTTTTTTTGAATTTTGAGAGGGGGAAAAATTGGTCAATGGGATTTTGGTTCCCATTGACCAAGAACCCCATATTCATTTTTCAGATTTATGTGGGGACCAGGGAAAGTTAATTTTCCTGTGTATCACTTACCCGGGTAAGTGATACCCATCTCCTAGGGAGACGGGATCTGCTCCTCACGAATGGGCGCCTCACATGCACATCCACCGTGCATTGAGAACATCTCCCGTGAATAATAATTAATTAGTACGAGAGATGTTCCCAATGCATGGTAGGATGTGCATGTGAGGCACCTGTGAGGAGCAGATCCCATCTCTAGAAGGGTAAATAACTTTCCCACCTAAGGGGAAATTGCTAACACTTGAATGGGACAAAAATGTCCCTTTTAATAATGGATTTTTATGGCTAAAATGGTCATTACCTTATTTACCTAGGAAATAAAATAATATGGGTAAATAAACTTACCCAGATAAGTGTCTCCCCAGAAAAACTTACTTTGATAATTGCATTTACCCGGGTAAATAACTTACCAAAAAGCAAACAGGGCCTTAGAGGCATTAGCCTCTTCAATGGGACCATCAAATCCCAAATGCAGGTTTCCTGATTGAGATGTATACCTCATACTCAACCAGTTTGGTGTTCACTTGAGTTACCATCAAGTTGCAATTTCACTTTATTGAATGAAAGATTCAATACATGATTAAGATGAAATGAAGAGTGTAGCACCTCAAGAAAAGATTCCTCTTTGGTAGCCATGTCTGGTTACAAATTCTGTTATTTTCTTGTGCCTGATCTTCACCTGATACAATGTGAAATATTGATTCAATTGAAACATTGACCCTTAGTCTTTTCCTCCTTTTCTCTTATAATGACAATAGGAATTATGTTACATGTTTTTATCAAGATGACCAAGCTGGCAAGGTAGGCTCAAAATCAGGCAATCCGAGAAAAGTAAATAATAAAGCATTAAAGCACTTAGGAGACAAGAAGGGCTGAGCAGTAGCTATTAGTTCTAAAGAAACTATTAGTATTGCTTTTCCAAGAAAGAAAGAAACAGAAAAAGAGGGTTTTAATGGAAAGGCAATTTAGTCTTTAAATATGGGCGTGAAGGACACTTAAAATGGTCTTTTATTTTTTTGTATTTGACACTTAAAATGGCCTGGGCCCATAACAAAGTTTCAGTACTTCGAAAGATTAAAGATCAACCACGAATATAGTTGGTCCAAGGATCAGCTCATATCCGAAACCGACGATTCATTTGGACAGTAGTAAACAACCTCCATTAAACCCAGATAATGGAAACCAGCAAAATAGTTGTTAACCCCTCCATCATCTGCTCCAGAGGCTGTTCACCCTAAACAACCTCCATTGTGTACCCTGTACTCCAGAGGTGCAATTACCCTAGTTGGGACTTGGGAGGCCAACCCAAGGGCTGCGTTTGGGACGGCCTCTAATAAGAGCTTCAGCGTTATTGCCTATAAACACCCCAAAAGTCCAACAAGCGCATTTAGAAGAAGCAAAATTTTGGGTTTCGGGCTTCTTTCTTACGTTTTGGAGAAGTCCTTTTACAAAGAAAAAAAGTGCTTATTCAAAAGTTCAACAACCGCTCAAAATATATTTATCTAATAAGCAATTATTGAAAAAGTGCTTATTCAAAAACCCGTTTAAAAAGGAAAAGCACCACCAAACACCTAAACCGTATGAACTCCAAGTCAAAAACAAAGAATGCAATAAAAAATAAATAATAGGCATTGAAATAAGCCCAGAAACAGAATCGGACCAAATTTAAAACCCTAATCGAGGCCAACTGAAAGGCCAGGTTCAGATTGAGCCCAGATTCACACGGGCAAGAGAAAATATCCATGGATCAAACATCAGACAGAGACCAATGCAGCAGTACACCATCAGCGCAGGTGCAGAGATGGCTGATACTGTCTTGTTGGAGTGGGACCAAAGGTCCAGTACGCAGTGATACTCTTTGCCGTGCCTTTGGACGACATCAGGTTCACATTTTCACCAGTATAGACTACTAGAAATGATCAAGACCACCTTTTCAGCATTTGTTCTGATATGTAGTTTTGCTCTGGTAATATCATTTCTCATAGTTAAAAGCTAAACGAACAGCCATGGAGATGGCCCATCACTCAGAAGTCTCAGAACTCAGCTGCTGCTGGGACTGTCCCTCCTGCTGCAAAAGATACTGTTATTGATCGGTAAACATCACCAAATATTATTTTGCACAAAGTGACCGCTGGCCGATTGAATTGGAGATCCGGACTCTAGCCGATCGATTCAAACTAGTGTTCTCATGCTTGTCCGCCAAGACTTCTCCATGCAAATTTGCCATTAAAAAATGCCTGAGGCCAGGAACATCGATCTCTTCTTGTACTTTATATCACCGATATTTCCGATGTGTGGCTGGATGAATGTAGCTGGGACCAACATTGGGTATTGACCCTTGTAATGCTTAATTGATGAATTTCAGAGTTTCTGTGAGTTGGTTCTGGTTGTACTAATCCATATTACACCCATTGTTGTAAGTTGTAACAGGTGTGAAATGGAATTTCTACCTTCCAGATGTTTGTTCATTTAACAACATTTGAGTTGCTACTTGTTGCAGTTGGGTTCTATATCCGTGTGCTTTCCTTGATTGCTTCTCTACCCATGCAAGCTTGTCTCTGTTAGGAGCTTCCAAGAGGAATGATTTGCGATTTGCCATTGTTGGCCCAAAGGTCTCCTCACTCAACAGACTATTCATCAACTTCTCCTGCTCCGACTGTGTTGTGCCTGTTGTTATGAGCAGCTCACACTTCCATACACCTTCCTTCCCGCCAGCAACTTGTAATTTGTGCTTTTACTAATTCAATTACAGCCTTCCAGAAGGGCTATTACATTTCAAAGGGAAAAAACCCATAGGCCGGGATCTTCTTTTCCTTGATGGGGCAATATAATAGAGACAAGGACAAACTGTTCATGCTAAAGAAGAGGACAGCCATGCCTTGCCAATAAAATAAAGTAAAGCATCAGTTGGGAGACCAGAAGATGCACTAAGTCCAACAAATTCATCTCCCCTTGGGCTTGACATTACTTGTTAGCTTTATGCATCATGCCTGTAGACAGCGCCTTGATCAATGGAAAAGGTGGTTTCTTTTTCTTTTCTTGGTTTGGTTTCAGCATTTTGGCAATCCCAAGTGCTGCAAGTAATGAGAGATAAAGAGAGTGTCTGTACTCGGAAAATGAACTCACTTGATAATCAGACGAATCGAGTAGCTATGATATTAATTCACTTCTACAAATTAAGG